AAAATTATGTTAAAGTAAATATAAAAATTAGTTTGCGATTATTTGTTTAATTTTTATGTTGTTACTGACTCATTTTTACGCGGCTCTTTGGGTCTTCCTGCTCATCGTTTTCGTTTTCTCCACTTGTTTGGGCTTTTTTAATACTGGATATGAACCAAATTATCATTGATGATGTGGCTTCCACATTGGTCAAATTTCGCATGTATCCTTATTTTGATGTTGCAAGCTACATTTTGATGAGCATTTCTGTTCGGGAAGATACCCCTCAAGCAGGTAAGATTGTCCAAAGTATTTATCTTTAGGTTCCTCTAAGTTTTCCCGCCGTCACCCATTTGCCTGCTGGTTCGCAACCATGCTTATGTGTTTCGCCGGCTCTATCTTAGTTGATTTCATTACTGGTTCTCCCATATTTGCCTGCTTCGATGATCATGTATCGCTTCTAACTGCGACCTTGGTTTGGTATGTGACTTTATTTTTTGATACCCAGGTATCTTATAAATTACTCCCCATTCGATATCGTCTACAGACTCTGCAAACTCTTTCCCATCCGGATTTTAATATGTACCTTAAAAGAAATTCAGCGGACTAAAAAAATTCATCATGGAGTGCACCATGGCCTCGAACATTTTCCTGATTCAGTTATCATGCCATTTCTTATTGGACTTCTAAAAGGCAAGTCTGCATATTACTTATTTTTTAAATTAATGTAGGTACCGGTAGCTCTTTCATGCGTGTATTTGCACTGTTTGTAATGGGTGTTTGGAATACTAAAGAGCTGGAGTTTCTCCACTTATCTTTGTAAGTGGATTATCAATTTAGAGTACTTTTACTCCATTCATACATACATTATTTAGCCTTTATATTTAAGTTAAGTGTTTTATTTAATGTTTATCTTATGCAAATACATTGCGGTGTTAGGTGCTGGATATTGTGAAATGAAGATGCTGGAACGACTCATTTGCGGAGTCTGGTTACCAGCCTCAACGGAGTTTCTTCATCCCACTTTGTAAGCAGTTGGAATGAGCTGAATATTGTAGGGTTTTGGTTTTTTTGCTTGCCTGTCAAGTTTCAGCCTAGCTCGCATTTTCTCTCTTTATGCGGAAGAAGGGTTTATAGTATCTCTAATGGAATGCCTCGCATAACATACGCATGCTTATGTAGAATTTGCCTGCACTTTTTTAATATGTTTGTCCTTTTTTGTCCTACTTCTTTTTATTGATTTTCAGTACTACGAAAATTTCTGCCATCGCCTCGGTTATCTTTTACATTAATTCTATGGATCTAATTCCTCTTCCGGATAATCAGCTTTATCTTGCGGTTGCACTAACACTGGTGTATTTCAGGTCGGTATGACTTATTTATTTTTTTGTGACTTGTAACACTCGTCTCTTTCTTTCATATATATTCTTTTCAACTTAAGAATGACGATGATTATTCTGGGCCTGAAAGACTTCTTTGTCCCACTCGAGAATATTTTTTGCACAATTGCCTTTGGAGGCATGGTTGACGCTCTTCGTGTCGCATTGGCTGGATCGAGTAAATCAATTTCTAATGTGAGCTCCGGACCTCCTGGGCCAGGCTCCACTGATATTACATCGACAGGAATGCCATCAGCTGGATCTTCTATGGATTCTGCTAATAACCCCATCTCTACTTCGAATTTTGGGGGTGCGAGTGGATTAGGCTCAAGTGGGACTACTAGTACAAGTTTAGCCAGTTCTGCTAGAGGTACACCACAGTCAAGTTCCAATATTAATGGATATGCGGCCACTTCAGCTGGAAGTCATCAAGTAGATAAGAAGCGAGATTGATAATAAGGCATTTTACTATTAAATGTGCCACCTGCGCAAGTGTTGCATCTACTGGCATCATGAGCAGTTCGCACCTGAGAGCCTTTTTAAAATGGCCTTAGAGCCACTTTTGGGTTTTCATTTGTAAATACCTCTGTGTAGGTTATATTCTGCCCATATTGACTTGCTTTGCTTCTGTCGCTCTTTGTAAAAAGTGCGTCGATATGAGTCAGGTTAAAATTACTTATTCTTTATAAAAAACCTCCTGCATATATCCATCCAAATAAAAAAACACTAGCATATCCTAATTGATCACTTGGATAAACCTATCTTACGAATGGTATACATCTGCCTCTGAAATAATTGGACCATAATCATACGTTTTTACGACACATGCCTTCCTGATGTCCATGTGCAATCATTGCTTCAAACAGAAATTTGGTCACTTCCTTTTCTCAACGCTCAATAATAGCCCATTTTCCCCACACGGCTTAGTTCGGTATTTAGCTTTTCCCCCATAATGCTCTTTCGCTCTTAAATTCTTTTTTTAGACATTCAGTTTT